AAAAAAAAAAAAAACACAGTGCAAATCCTCGGCTTTTCTTCCCCTCCTGCCGATGATAAGACTCCATTTTTCTGCTTCATGTCTCCACCAGAAATTCGAGGGGCGGCCTGGAAAAAAATCAAGAACAAAATATGCATTGAAAAATGATTGAGAAAAATTTATTAAGAGAGAAATTATAAAGAATGGTTCCAAGGTTTTCACAGCAACTTGAAAAACAAATTTGGTGTCCAGAATTCTTCAAAATGGTGTGAAATCAATAAATACAGGGTGGGCGAAAAAAGTGAATCAAATTTTGACTTAAAATAGCTCAGTAGCAAATTAAGATGTGGAATGAAAGCTTGTTTAATTCTCTTCCAAATGGTATGTAGTTCTATGGTCCAAAGTGCCACAGAATTCAAAATCATTTTCACTTATAATCAGTTTCTGCAATCCAGTCATCCAGAAAATAAAAAATTAGCATGCAGTGTGTCACTGCACGAGGGGACAACAGGAGCCCTGCAGCAACCTATCCTGCCAATTTCCTTGCCCCTTTCCAACCCCTCTGATTGAATTTTGGGATCATGTGCATGCTCTTCAAGAGAGCATGAAGTTTTCTGGTTACATCATTGCATCACGAATTTCCTTCATTGGTGCAAACAGCTCTCCACAACCATAGATTGGCAGAAAACGTTGCCTGACAACTTTATTTCTTTTTGAAAGTTTTCATTCAAATTGTTTTTGTGACCATTCTGTGGCACTTGGGACCATAAAACTATATCAGATTTGAAAGGAAATTGAACAATCTCTCATTTGGTGTTTTTTTCATAGCCACAGCTCAATTTTCTACTGAGCTATTTTAAGTAAAAAAAAAATTGGTTCCCTTTTTTTGGCCCACCCTGTATATGGGGGCTGACGGAATCGCTCGTAATTCATTCATTAATATTTGCAGATGATATTTTTCTCAAGGACAGTCTTGAATTTGGAGATTTATTGCTGACCTGTTGCACAAATAAACATATAATTTTTGTAATACTGCATGGTACAGTATTGATTCGCTATTTCTCCAAAGCATAAAAGGCCGTCGAATACTTGTCGAATCATATTTAAAAGTCTTAAAACCAAGTTTTGTATAGCGGTGCGGTTGAAGTTATGCATTGCAATCTTCGGAGCATACTTTTCGCATATATGGTAAATTTTCCTGAGATACAAGTTGTCTATTCAATAATTATTTAAGCGTATAAAACGGAAGAGTAAGAGATTATTCACCGGATCTAGATGGAGCATCTTCTTGATTTATGCAAATACTGTAAAAATGTACAGTATCATCAGTAAAATCAGCAACAATAGCCCTTTAATATTCATATTAGCTTTTGCATTAGGAATCATTGCCTAAAAATATGTTGCTTTTTCATGGGGACACGTTTGTCAAATCAAAACGAATGCCAATCAAGTGCATTTTTTTTCATTCTCCTGCACGTATGTGATATTTATCGTAGCACTTTTTCTGCAAGATAATTCAGCTAAATTGTTTAATACAGTATTCAATATTCACTTCTCAGAAGAAATAGGGTGCCCTTCGAGTTTCACTCACTTTTCAAAATTTGAAGGGTGAAATCCTGAGCTGTGGTCAGATATTCACCTGTTTCATCCTTGTTTCTATTCATTCAACCAAAATATGAATCGAACAGGGAAAATCATTAGAATGGAACAAATTCACAAACTAACGATTTGGAATCACACTGCTCATACTACCCGTGTATGTGGTTCACTCATTTTTATACCGTACTCATTTTTTTGAAACTGTTATATTTTCTTGAATTTAAAACTGAGGCGATGTTTCAAAAGAAAGACAGTTCAGGTACAGCCAAAATATTTCCCTGGTAGCTTCTGTGGATTTGCATCACACGAATAATGTTCACCATCCTGTCAACCACTGCATTTTCTTGACGCAAGACGCAATGCAAATTTGTTTTCGTCAGTCTTTTCTTACAAAAGCATCGTAGGGAAAGGGTTATCCCTTCCGATGCTGTCGACAATAAAAACGCACGAAAAAGGCGATTCGTCGTTTCACCATCCACATATATTTTCACGGTGATTTATTTCTTCCCATTGATTTAGTCTATATGGGAAAAACTGTAAAAAATAACAGATAAAGCTAGATTATAATATATTGAAACTTGAAACAGTTGATCCGATGATAGAACTTTACACGAGTTTGTAACACGAGTTAGTTACAACAGTTCCGATTGACGAAAAAACTGCATTTCATTCCGCAAATGAAAATAAAAACGAAGCGTCTGGACAACTTCTGTTATGAATGGATTCTCTGGTCATTCAATGCAAATTGCGTCTTTCAACAGCAGTAACTGTGTATGCGAACATGAAGGGTGTTTATTGAATATTAATATTGCAATGGATATTTGCACATGGAAGGTAGGAAGAATATGCGAAGGACCGAAGGAACGCGCGATGTGGGATAGAAAAAAAACGATCCCGGGAAAACGTAACAGCGACACCTGTGCATTGAAACGGAATCTCCCAGGGCTCAGTTGACTGAGACTCAGCTAGAGAGTATGAAAATCTACTTTTCGCGTTAATCGAGACCTGGCTATCAGTTCCGTTTGCAGCAGTTCCCGACGGTTTCCTGGCACAACGAACGAGTGAAGACTAGTCAAGAGTTGAACATTTCATACAAAGCAGATCCCGTCGAAAGTTTTCCATTAGAGAGATGAATTGTTAATCCCATTCGAAAATTCTCCATCGCAGTAACTGCGGATATTTATCACCAAGCACGACTCGATGCCATATACCGAAACGTCGACGAAACCTGCGCAGGCGTGACCCCGAGAATAAAAAAAAAGGCCAACAAATCACGTCATCATGACGTCACTGCGCCGCACGTACGGCCAGTGGGCGGAGCTCAAGAGCCGGGGCGTGCGCGACACGGAAGGCGCGGCCGAGAAGCCCTTTCAGCGCGAC